GCATTAGATATTAGATATATAACTCTTTTTTGCAATATAAAATTTTTTTTGGAATGGCATGAAGAGTTGTGTCATTCATTAATAGAAGATCTTAAATGGAAGAAATGGATTAATCATGGATTATTTAAATTTCAAATACAAAAACGAAAATCGGTCGTTCTTTTTGTATTGTTGGAAAAAACATTGACTACATACGTAGCATTACACCCTTCTGTTATCACACAGTAAAAATTAAAATCTCGAAGTGAAGAACATTATTTCGATTTAAAGAAATCTTGCTCTCCTATATTCATGAAGAAATATTTTTATGAACTGAGAAATATATTCTCTCAAGTTGAATTTGAATCATTAATTCAAATGGACTGAATAAACGCTTCTTTCAAGTAAAAAAAAATATTCCACCAAAATTGTGCATACATTTCAATAGAAATCAGCACATTAGCTCAAGAGGAGTATGCATTCTTTAGTGGGAGCAGAAGTAAAACTTTTTTGGGTTTTGAAAGAATGATACGTTAACTTGGAACACTATTTGAATATCTTCCTAGGAGAAATTAACTGTTTTGTTTTTCTTTGAAGAGAAGCATTTTTCATTCAGACGCTTTTATTTTTATAAATCAAATAAACTCATTTACTTCATTAAAGATGAACTCATGCTTCTGTTTATAAACTGTCCCTCTCATATGGATGTCTTTAGTTACTTGAATCCAAAGTATCTCATCTGTAATATGAACAGCTATAGTGGTAAGGGAACAAATTAAATAATACATTATATATTATGATTGGTTTATTTGAAGCAATTCATGAATATTATCCTGAAAAAGCATATGATAAAAAACAAAACATAGTAGAAAACTGAATTTTCTTTGCCAATCTTTGCTAAAATGTCATATTTCAACCGCACACTATTGAGAGATCATACAGTTATACAAATAACAGAAATAAATATTCAATCAGAAAACATATATAAAAAGAAGTAACATATTCATGACAAATTGCAAATTAACAAATAAAATAAAATCGAAGCCTATACAACATTACAACTCAGACAAGAAAATGAATCAATTTATTAGTAATTTTACAAAATAAAGTATTTGAAACTAGATGCCATTTTGGTAAATAACATTAAAAAAATCACTATCGTCTATCAAGTTCTGCATTTTGCTTTTGTTAATCTACAATTGCCGGAACATCACATGGATTCTGAAACGAAAGATAAAATCAGCACATCATCGTTAGCCATCATTTCAAATATCTAGAAAGGCAAAACTATGAAAACGGCTGCCACTCAATAAAAAAAATATATATATTTTTTTAATAAAAAACTGTTTGAGAGGGTTTATTCCGTTAACCAACCCAATTTTTGTGCGCATACGAACGACAACCCTCAAAATTTTAAACTTGTCTGAGGTCTTATTGTTCAACATACGATTTCTACCAAGTAAAAAGGTGCTTAAACATTCCTTGATCAGAAATAAATAATCAATTCACATGACGTACTTCAAATCTCTTTGAAGTGGACAGAAGTCTTTACAGAAAAATTGCCTTTCAAAACCGTTGTGTAAGTAATATTAGAGGATCAATGGAAAATATAAAATGTTTCATTTAAAAAATCTAACTCATGATCATACAAACGCTATTTAAATAAAAACATTCACTGTTTCCACGTTTTTGGAAATTCTGATTTCTCTTCTAGTGAGTTTGGTAATATTTCTACCTATTTCTTACATTCCTAAAAGATAACATAAATGAAAAATGAACACAATGAATAACATAAAAAGATTCCTGAAGTAATTACAGAAAGCAAAGACGTTTCGGAATTCAACAAACATTTACATGTTGAAATCAGAAAGTGGCTGTCACATGTAGGTGCTTTTTATACCTACTGGTTCCTATTTTGGTAATTTTTGTATCATAATTTATTGTCGAAACTATAATTACCTCTCTCTTTCAATGAAAAAAGAATTCGGTATAAAAAAAAATCAAATTTTATTTAGAGAAGATGCACTTATTTAAAACAAGATAAAAGATATGTTCAAAATAAGAGATTGGCGAATTTGAATCTACGTGGAGGATTTTTCAGTTCAAATTAATATACACTTGCAGAGCAAATGTAATAATGCATGCGTGATAAATTACAAAGCATTGATATAATTTTCGCAAAATGAGGGCAAAATTAAGAGTTACTGTTAAAGTTTACCACTTTCTCTTCGGTACTAGGTATACAACGCAGTACTTACTGATGGCATAGTTTCTTTCTCAAGTAACCCAAACACCTCAATTTTATCCAATTATAATACTTACCTATGAAAATATCTTTCAACTATATAAGACCCCAGTGTTGTACAATCAGTTCCATTATGGTAGATTATGGTAGAAAAGAATTGCACTATCTACAGACACATAAAATACTTCCTCCTTAAAATCACAACACACCAACGTCACTTTCCAACACATACTGATGCGTACAACACTGTTCTACACTGTTAGTTTCTCATAATACTAAATATAAATTCTTTTCAATACTATGTTCAAATAAAACAGTTTTCTTCAATCTGAAATGAATGAAATTCTTCTTTAAAAGAAACTCTGTTCATTCTATACAAAATTCTTGTTATCTTCAGTGGATCATAATATAGTTTTGTATATAGATTTACAAAACTCTTGTTATGAATCAATTCAGTTATTTGAAAGGATACAGTTTTGAATTCAAACAAACAATATGTTTTCAGATCAAGTTGATATTGCTCTCCATTTGAAACAGTTTATTTTTCTTGTAACATTAGTAGTGGATTTTGAGATGATATTATATTTTCTTGATTCAAAATTGTTCATCTTCGCAATAATATAATCAAACGAATAGTGCCGTTGAAAAGCCAAGAAATTTGATTTATTCGTTAAAATAAGTGTGATTCTCTTGTGGAACATGGCGCTGTTGGCATGAAGTAATAATTTCTCCAATAGAGATAAAAATTTCAAAGCAACCTATGATCTTCTTTGAAAGAAATACTTTTTACTGTGCAATCATTAACGTTTTTTTTCTGAAATACTCAAATTATAAATACAATGCCAACCCAATTGATATAAACACGTTTGGGAAAGTGTCCCCTACTATTCCTGAGTTTCTGAATATACAGGTCACTGTTTCAGGTCTTCTGCTTCTTTGCTAGTAGAATCAGGAACGAATATAACGAATATTAAGAAGCACAAGGGATGGAATTCGGGGTTATATCGATCAATCTATTTCTTAAAAAAAGGCTATTGCTGAAAGAAAAATCCCAACAGCTAGTTCCAGCGTCACAGCATTGTCCTCTTCACTTCGAAAATTAAATGTTAATGCTCATAAAATTGTCAACACAGATAGTTCAAATATATCACAAGACTCTTCAGCGTCCCAAGTTTAATAATAGCAGTTGACTTGAAAATTGAATAGTTTTGTTTTTTATTGATATTTTGTCGAAACAGTAGTGTTAAAAATATTTTAACACGCTACTTCGTAAACATCATCTTTCAATATCACTGAAAAATGTCACTTTCAATGACAAAAACTGTTTTTCAACGGTTTTATTTAGCTTGCCCTGTTTGCTTGGGAAAAATTTAATAATTAAAGTTTGATCCCCTTTCTTATGACAAATCGATGTGATATTTGGTACACATATTTAGTTTTGATGACAATACAATTCAATAAATTATGTCTCATTGTAAATTCAAGATGGCCTCAGCTACAAAATGGCAGATAACATATTTTTTTCACAACTACCTCAATATGTGTATAAAATGACAGGAATTGATTAGTATCATAGTATACAAAGAACTTTGTCAACTCGGAATCAGGATACAAGCATGGATCTTCCACCCAAATCCAGATTTTGTATCGTTTCGAGGATTGTGTGTCTTAGGGGTGGCTGAAAATGATACGTCGTTAGCGGTAAACCACCAAAGTAAAAGGTTAAAACGTGCCGAGAACTGCATGGCAGTAGGAAGTATGAAAATAAGAAACTAAAAACTCGAAAATAAATTAGGAAAAATAAATTTTCATGTTAAATGGTTTAACTGAAAAAAAAAAGATAACAATGATGTAGATGATGTACTGAAAGCTAAAAAATAATTCGGAAGGTCCTAGGTAGCAGTCATCACACCACTCTCCTTTCTTATGGGGTACACTGAAAAATAGAGTTTATGTTCAGAGGGAATATCAAAATATTGAGGACCTTCAACACATCATTGTTACAGAGTTCGGAAGATTGACGAGGATGGAAATTAATCGTTCACTGAATAATATTCGAAGAAGGGCACATTTGTGTTATCATGAACAAGGCCAGCATTTTGAGGATTTGGTGTGATTTACTTTTGTCTCAATATTTTAGTAAATTATCGTTATTTGTTCAAAGTTCTATTTGCATTGAAAAGGACACAATGTCGTACACAGCTCATTTATCAAATTTCGATTGTTGATTTTGTCTCCGTATTTTCTCATTAGCTTTTCAAACGAACCAAACTCGGTGAGATTTCGATCAAATAATTCGAACATAGTTCAAAGTGGTTGTCGTCTTTTGGGATACAAGTTTAAATACATTTCAGATGTCCTAACACTGTTTCTATCGTATTTGTAATAAATTTGTATCATATCTCTTTTTCCTTCATTCGTGAAAGCCATTTTTTGTCAAACATTCAGTGACTTGAACAATAACAAAATATCATTAAGTGTAACAAATTGAAAGTAAAATTTAGAAACATCAAAGTTGAAGCCTCAGCAATACACGGGCGTAGTATTTACACATTTACTCGGTTACGTTAGGCGTAACCTTTACCTGATCAGTACCGTAGCTTGCTAAGGAGGGTGGTGTGATGACTGCTACCTAGGACAATTTTTTTTTATTTTCAATGAAACCGTTCAACATAAAATTTTTTCTAACTTATTTTATTTTGATAAAATTTGATGATAGCAATGTGATTTTATTTTCAACAATTTTTTCAGTAATACAAATCATTTTCAATTTCAGGTATGAGAATATTAGTGATGCTTCTCCTGGACACCTTACCTATGCTAGGAAATGTCTTGCTGCTCTGCTTCTTCGTATTCTTTATTTTCGGTATTGTTGGGGTGCAACTCTGGCAGGGGGTGTTGCGACAACGGTGTGTATTCAATAGTGAACAATTTCCCCACATACCTATGCCAACGTAAGTAATTCAAGGCATGCTTTCAAGTAGAATTAGATTTCAAAAAGTAGATAGTAGGTACTAATGACAAATATTTCAATTGAAAAACAGAACGAACGCTTGAAATTAGATCTTTCAAAATAGCGTTATCAACATAAAACATTCAGAAGGCATTTCTATATTCACTGTAGTTTATGAATCAAAATCAATCGTCACAATGGAATCAAAATGACAATCGTCCGATCAACTAATATACGAGTGACTAAGAGAATAAAAATCAGATAAGGTGGAGTAACATACCATAAAATATGGAAATTAAATTACAGTTCATTGTATGATTTTCACTATGGAAGGTTTTTCAATAACCGCGACACGTGTTTCGCTTTAAAACATTGAGAAAGGTGTTGTATAATGAAACACGTGTCTCACTTTTTGTAAAACCCTTCATTGTGAAAATCTTACCATAAGCGGCATTGATGAGTTTTAATATGGATTTTCATGAAGTATCGGCCAGTTCTATTCAATTATTGAAGCCACTCTTAGATTTCATGAATTTTAATTCTTCTCTGAATAACCAATGAGATTCAAAGTACTAATTAGCCAAACCCGGAATTACTTGATTAAGGCATTCTCTTTAGAAAACGAAAGTGTGCGGATGTTTACATGAATTGTACAAAGTTAATCCACGTCAATGCAGTCTCTTGAAAACTTTGGCAAGTGTGCCCTTTCACTCTTCAAAATTTCAAAAGCAAAAATGAAACGTTTTCGTAAAATGAAAATTGAATTCAGTCTCATCTCCGAAGGTACATCTCATAATGATATCAGGTCATTTATAAATATTGACAGATCAAAATCTTCATGACTCTCGAAATAAGCGTTCAATTAATAACAAGATTACAACTAACAAAAATATGTTTTATATCTATGAAAAGGAAATATTTCTAGAAAATTTATTGTTTTAACTTTTCTGAGTATGTGAAAGTTTCAAATTAGGGAGAACAGGAAAAAATATTACCTACCAAAACCCTCCGTCACAGGAAAACAGTTCAAAAGTTCATATATAACTACTACTAAAATTGAATATAGTTACTTCACTCCCGAACTTAAGAATTGTATTTATGAAATGAAAATATTTTCCGAAGGGCTTAACTGAAAAAAAATGACCATCTCTGTATCTTTTCTGATTAAAATCGTATTGAAAATTGTTCTCTATTTCATCGAGTAGAAATTCAAAAATGCAATACCTTCGAACAACTCAAAGTCTAATGGAATCTGAAATCAACACAATTTCAATAAAAAAGTAGCAAAGTGATTTGAGAAAGTTTGACACCATCCTGATCATCTATATCTCGTTAGGTATCATGGAGAAAGTCGTGAACTACCATATCATCAAATATTTGGAAGGCTTCAACATCTTGAGCGATCATCAATATGGCTTTAGGAAACAGAGATCAACAGGCGGCCTTCTATCGTATGTCACCCATATTTGGAATAACGCAATCGAGAAATATGGAGAGCTATTGCGCTTGATATTTCTAAGGCCTTCGACCGTGTGTGGCATGAGGGTTTGTTGGCCAAACTTCGATGGTATGACTTGTCGGATCATTTCTGTGTATGGCTCTTCAGCTTCCTGAAAGAACGTTCCCTGCAAGTGGCCGTCCATGGATATCTCTCGGATACTTTCACCATCAACGCTGGTGTTCCCCAGGGATCTATACCTATTGTCTTCAACCCTTTTTTTATTGTATATCAACGACTTGATGGAAAAAAAAACAAGAATCCAATCTATTACTTTGCTGACAACAGCACACTTGTCTCATCATTCCATTTGGATTCCAGAAAATCGGCTACGGAGGCACATCTTCACCGGCAGCAGGAGGTTGCATATCTTAATGAGGATCTAGAAGTGATTTGGAATTGGAGTGAAAGTAACCAGGTTCAGTTCAATGCCCCAAAAACCCAGGCATCAGTTTTCTCCAAAAAAATGAATGTCTACGAACCGAATATAGTAATGTCAGGTCAGACAATTTCGCTTTCTGCGTCAATAAGTTTGTTGGGGGTTGAAATGGAAACCAATATGTCTTGGCACAATCATGTCGCTGGAATTGCAAAGGCTGCTTCTCAAACGCATGGAACACTATAGAACCAGAAAACTGTACACCCCTCAGGACCTTTTGATGCTCTATAAAGTTAGACCTTCTTTGGGGTATTGTATTCATGTATGGAGGTCTTTTCCCAAATATATCCTGACGTTGATGTATTCCATCCAGAAAAGAGCCATCCGCCTGATTGGAGACGAGAACATTACATTCAACCTTAATAGCCTGGAACATCGAAGAAAGGTTGGAGATTCGTTTCTCTTGTATAGATACTTTCGCGGGAAGTGTTCAAGTGACTTGGCACATTTGATTTCACCAAGAGCGGTACATATCAGAAATACGCGACGGACTGTGGTTGCTCATCGTTTTGAGGTTCAACTCAGTACACCTCAAGCTTCACTGTTCAAGAACTCTTTCATCTTGAGAACTGCGTCCATGTGAAACAAACTTCCTAAGAACGTTTTTCTAAATGGATCCAATCTCCAGCGATTCAAATCCAGGCACCGCTCTGAGAGCGCCTTAAGGATTTTCCTGTAGTGCTTGTGTTTTGTCTTGGAAAAATCTAAGTCAGTGATGATATACATAGTATATCACCCAAAATCCATTCCTCTATTTTTCCTGATGAAGTATTATGACAATACTTGTTTTTTGTTACGTAGAACTATCGGCCAATTTCATCACACATTGATATGTTTACTTTTTACTATCGTAAAAGTGCTCCACCTATTTGAAGTTCACATAAATGTATTCACCATTCAATTTTCAGGGAGTCTTTTTGACTCTCATCTTCCTTCGTGTATTAGATTCTGAAATGCTCGTATATCTGTTCATCCACCAAAACTGAAACCCCAATGGTTCTTTATCATGTAGAAAATGATAACAGAGATCTAATTTCAAGAGTTTGCCGTTAGTAAACCGTATTGAAGTTTATTCAATCGAAGAATAACTTCTAGATAATAATATCCATAAAATTTGCTTCATTTTCTATTATTTTTCTGTACACTTTATTAGAAAACCAAATCAAAGCTTTTGATTTCAATCGAAACAAACCCAAGTTCCTGCAGTTTATATATCAAAACGGTTTTGCAAAATAAATATTTATATTTACATAAAACTCCATTGAGAACATCCCATACATCTAATTCAAAAATAATCACCATGCAAGTTTGATCCCCATGTATTTTTGAAGTAACTCAACGCATGTGAAATTTTATGCATCGATTTTGAAATTTTAATTTTTCACCCGATTCTTCCCCAGTTTTTCAAGTATTCCCCTACAATTTTCAGATTTTGCTTAAGGTGTTCCGGATCATCATTAAATAAATTCACAGGTTCGCGAGGTTTCTAAATTTGATTTCACGAAACGTCGATGAAAAGTTCAGTTCAATTGGAGTGAATCGTAATACCAATGTGAATCCATTATTTATTGATGACTCTGAATCCATGGTAAAAACTATACTACAAATCATCCAAATCGGTCATGAATCGTTATTCCTTTCGGATATTAATCAACACTCTATTGTCACTGTGACTTTCAACAAATGCTATAAATGTGTAATTCAAATTTCATATACGCATATAAATCAAGCTCAGTTTTGTACTGAATGGCAATAGCGGATGATGCTTAACCGCCAGAAACTTGTATTTCCATCATGAAATGTAACATTTTGGAAGGTGATCCTTATGCTCAACATTGACCCGTTTCCAATAAATAAAAAAGTGGTGAGGGTGATTATTACTACTACTGCTCTACAATGATTAGCGTTAGAATATACCCATGCAGAATCAAGTGTTCCAAGGTAGGAGTTCTCCTAAACGACTCTTGAGCAGCAGAAAAAGAATCTGCATCAGGAGAAGAAATAAACTTCTGCGCAGTTCTGCAAACGCTTGTGGTTTACCCAAATCAATGGCGAAAAAGCTCAATGCAATGTGCTTTCAGATGCTCTCATATGAATAGATCCATTAAGATGGAAATCTTCCACCTTGAACATCCTGTACAGACCAATCAACTGAAATGTTTTGAGTCCATCATTATGGCTGTCGTAAAAATTATTCAAGAAGACATTCCACAGGTACAATTCCAGAGCTGCTATCCGGCCTTGTTAGTTACAGGTTGCCTGGGAGAATCAGCCCCACGAAACGAATCACATGATACTTTTTCCCGAAATAAGACATTTGTAATGCTTACCTACTTGATGAGTTACTCACTAGTCTGAGGTAAATGAGCCAAGTTCTATGAACCTAAGTCTATGAACTTTGTCGTGGACTATCCTTCACAATGCAAAGAGAGCAAATACACTGTGCCTGCCCTTTCAGTCTCACTTTTGCCAGCCAATCTGAAAGATCACTTGCTAATAATAATATTTGATTTTGTTGTGAAACTAGATTCATTTGATTGAGTTCAAATCCAATCACTTCAGACCTACCTACCTCATCACTTGAATAAATATTTAAAAAATTAAACATCAATCTGAGAGATGCCTGTAGGTTTGTAAAAATATAACTTTAGGAAGAGATTTCTTCCGTTTTATACATCAACTATTACATAGAATTATACGACGGGAAGTTGACAAGCCAGCTAAAAAAACCAATCGTAATGTGACAGTTTTCACAAAAAAACTCATCAGTAATGTCCTTTATACTCCAGGTCTATACTTTTCAGTTTTTCATAATTTCCATTGTACACTATTTTCATTATACACTATTCATCAATCAATACTAGAAACTCCATATATTCAATGAAATTTGTTTTGACATATTTATAATTCATGAGATTCCAAGAATGTTTAAGAAATTGTATAATCATCCCTCACAACTTGTGTAACTAAATTATCATTCTCAGTGACATGAAACAGAATTTTCTAGTATATTAGTCCTACTTGTTTACATTGTTTTGAATCTGGTGGAAAAGTCATTTGTGCT